CTTTTATTCTCTCCCTGTAAATAGACAAAGGAACTAGTACAGGGAGTTTTTCCTGGAGTAGCTGTTCACGATTACCTATTGAAATGAATCTCCCATGCAAACACGTTGATTCCACACAGATGTATCAACCCACCCAGATCTTCTCCTCCTCTACTTTAAACTTACCCTCTGGTTGTTGCCTGTGCAAGTGAATTGAGGAAAAGAATAAAGAGGAATATTGGTGCAGGGAAAAGTTGTTGTTGGAACCTGTGCTGGGAAGGTTGTGGATACAGGGATATATATAGGGATGCTAAGGTTGGGAAAGGGAATATTTAAAAAAAAAAAAAAAAAAAAAAAAAAAAAAAAAAAAAAAAGAGAAAATATAGCTGAATGCACACACTTTCTAAACTGAAAGTGAAACTAACCCTGAAGATGGACTTGCACATGGCAGTCTGAATTTCTTGCAGGAGACCAAGTCTGATGAAGTTCTGGTGTTGTCATCTCCCAGAGGAGCCATGGGATGTGTCCACATGGATTTTACCTGTCCAACATGGAGCAAAGTGGGTTTGGCTGTGTCCACAAGGAACATCATTTCCTCACTGCTGCTGGATGTTTCCTCCTTCCTCCTGCAGCAAATCAAACTTCCAGGAGGGGAAAGTGAAAGGAGTTTGATGGGATGAGTATCCTTGTGTTGCTCTCTCCAATCTCTTCCCTCTTTCTCCATGGGAAGAGTCAAAGTGGACAAACATTTCTTGGCTCATGGGGTGTGGATAAAGGTCTTGTCAACAACTCCTTTTTGCTGATCCTCCTCTTCCAGCCATGGACTCTGAGCTAAGACCCTGGAGAACACCCTGAGGTTAGGGTAGGAATTCCAGCCCTGTGTTTAAGCAGCACAGAGGACTCTAACAACCATCCCAGCAGGAACTCAGATGGATCTCAGGGCACATTCCCAAGCCTGAGGAGCTTAGAACCTGCAAAGCTTTGCTAGCTGCATCCCTGGAGCTCCAGCTCTGATGGACATCCCAGATTTCCTCACTCTCCTCTGCCTGAAGCTTGCAGGAAGTTGTAAGCTGATAAGTTAGGCAAGGAGCAAGTCGTGTGCATTGTTGTTTATTGTTTGAGGATTGTTTACATGCCCCTTTTTTGTTCTCCCATCTCCCTGACTCTTCCCTGACCTCCTTGGCTCGTTTGCTCCATTGTGTGTAGCTGTTGTTGTTGTTCCAGCTCAGGTTGGAGCAATCCATGACAATTTTTCAGCCCCAGCACGTTGTGTCCCTCCTCAGGTTTTTTTTGGCTCTGTTGGTTTATCCCACCTAAACAACAATGATATTAATAATGATAATACTCTCTGAGTGCATCTCCCACTGTGGATTTGGGAGCAAGTCATGCAGCTTTCCAGACTCAGTATAATCTCCTTGGGATTTTCTGTCGTGCTTCCATAAATTACTCCATAAAACACAGCAAACTGCTTCTGAGGACACCAACCCCCTCCTGAACATTGCTCCTTGGGCATGGATCCTTCCCAGGAGGACATGGATATTGAGCCTGAAAAGCTATTCAAGGTTGGATGCAATTCACAGCTGAATTTGGGGGTTCACCCCTTGCTCAGTGGACAGGGAATCTACAGTGGAATTCTGGTTGTTTCCAGAGGAGCACAGAGCATCCAACAGTCTCTTCCCCTGGTGTGGAGTTCCTGCAGCCTCTGAACACAGAGTTCCCACTGACAAGTGCATCTGAGGCCAAGCCACTCTCAGGATGATGCTCCATGTGCTGGGGAACATGTGCAGGAGGCACTGGGAGAAGCAAGGAAATATTTACACTGGGAGGAACTGTTGACAGTGCAGCTCAAACAGTTGATGGTACTGAAAGCAGTCAGAGCTGGGTAATATTTGGCTCCTGCTCTTCTCCTGGGGGGGGAAGGATCAGATGGGGCTGGCAGGGCTGTCCTTGGCCAGGGCAGTGGATCCAGCAGCTGCAGCAGGATAAGGTGCTGAGAGGAACCAGCAACTGTGACTCAGTGCTGTGGTTGAAGCTGAGGTCAGGGTGGAATTTGGGGTAGCTGCAGCTTGGGGCCACCAACATCCCTTGGTGATTCTGACCCCACCAGTTGAGGTTTGGATGGCCCCTGAAGCCCTTTTGGGCTTGTCAGCAGTGCCAAAGTGTAACAGAGCTGTTTGGAAGTGTGTTTTGTGCTGGGAGAAGGGAATCCAGCTGAGTTTCTGCTGTCCTGGTGTTGAGCTGGGAGTTTGCATCCCAACTGGTTCCTGTTGCAGTGTGTCCCCAGCTCACTGGGTAGGTATTCCACATATTGTTTTGATTTCAACCCAGCCTCTCTCTTGTTCTGTTTTTAGCATGGCTGACAAGAACAGCACCCTGAAATGCACGTTCTCTGCTCCTGGCCACAGCACCACTCTGCTGCAGGGACTGGCCTCGCTCCGAGCTCAGGCTCAGCTGCTTGATGTCATCCTCACTATAAATAATGAAGTGTTTCAGGTTCATAAAGTTGTCTTGGCTGCCTGCAGTGACTATTTCAGGTGAGAATCTGGTAGGCAAGCAGGCATTTTTACCTTTCCCTGTGGCTTTTTTTATCCCTCCATCCTCCCCCACCACGACCTTCCCATCACATTCCCAAAATCCCTGTCCCACAGAACCCCCTGGAGGTTTGGTTAGCCCCAGGGATGGCACTGGGGTTTCCTGCAGGCAGGTAGAGGCTTAGAGGCAGAGGTTGGTTCAACTGCAGCTGCTGGACCAAGGTATAAATTCAAGCTCAGGTTTTGTACCCCCTGGGCAGGTGTTGGGAGGTGCTGCCTGTGGAAGGAAACAAGATTTTGCCCTGGAGCTGATTGTGAAGTGGCAGTGAAGGCTCTGGAGTGAGTCATGTTGTGCTGTGAGGGTTGTAAACACACTCCTGTTCTCTCTGACCCCCCCTGATGTGTCTGCAAGAGCTGAGGGTACTAAAGGGTCTGTCCCAGCTTGTGTGGGCAGAAAATTGTGGCACTGAGTTTTTCCAGCCAAGTTAATGCAGAGGGAGAAAAGTGCAGAGCAGGGAATTCAGTTTGGTGTGAAAATACATGTTTCTCCATCTTGCCTCTGTCACAGAATCATTGAGGACTTCCAAGATCAGTGACCCATCACCACTTTGTCCACTAGAGCAGAGCACTGGGTGTCATGTCCAGTTGTCCCCTGAACTCTGCCAGGGATGGTGACTCCACCACCTCCCTGGGCAGCTCCAATGCCTGACAGTCCTTTCCACGAGGAAATTCCTCCTGATGTCCAAACTGAACCTCTCCTGGCACAGCTTGTTCTCTCTTGTCCTGCTGTTCCCTGGGAGCAGAGCCTGATCCCACCTACTGCACCTCCTGGCAGGGAGTTGGAGCTGTAGGGATGGGAAAGTCCTCCCCAAACCTCCTTTTGTCTAGGCTGAGCCCCCACACCTCCCTCAGCCACTCTCTGAGTGACTCTCTAGCCTGGCAAACCCTGGGAGTGTCTCTGACTCGGAATGGCTTTGAGTTGAGGATGGTTTTGGGCAGCAGCAGTGGGGTGTGAAGTGAGGGATGTGCAAAAGAAGGCTCAGACACACAGAGGGCACAAAGTGGGTGATGTTCCAGCCTAATCACAGCAAGGCAGGATGGGCAAGGGCTGTCCAAAGGGCTTTGCAGATCTTTGATGTGTAAACCTTCCAGACTGGTTTGCTGAGCAGGGAAACAAGAAGAAAGGACCTCACTGTCCCTTGGCATCAATCTGGTGTCCCTTTGCCTCTCTCTTCAGCTGCTCTGATGGGACTTTATGTCCACACATGTTTTCTAGGCTCTTCCCTTCTCTCTTCCTTTGGCATCACAAACCTTTCCAAGCTTATCACTCTCCCTCCCAGGCACAGGATTCATCCTGGAGCTCTTCTCCCCCTTCCCAAATGCTAATGGCATGATTTGTATGATTTGTATTCAGCCCTGCTGTGTGCCTGGCCACAACCAGGGTGGTTTCACTGTCAAAAATCTAATTGCTGAGTAGGTTTCTTGTTCTAACTTCTGTGGTGCTAAGGAAGGTTGTCCTGAGGAACAATGGCAGAATAATGCAGCTTTTGAAAACACTCTGTTTTCCTGCAGGAAAGGGGGGGGAGGGAGGAGAAATGAAATTGAAGCTTTTATATAATCAGCAGTTTAGAAGCAGCACACTTGAGAAGGGAGTTGCATTCTAGTTGATGGGTTTGGGCTTCAGCATGGCAACAAGGATGCTTTTCTTTCCCTCTGCCTGCTCAGCCCTGAGCTGCTAACACGTGGCTGAGCATCCTCTGGGGCAAGGGATCAGCTCTGTGACATGGGAGAGGAGAGATCTGAGCAGAGAACTCCTCTCTGCACATCACTGGGAACAGGATTCCTGGTCACTGTGGATACAGAGAGCTGATTTCCTACACAAATATTTCCTGATTTAGGTCATTTAGGATGTCTTGGGGTTGTGCTGCAAGGCAGCAGGTTTTCTAGCCTGGGTTGGACAGGAAACTTGGAGCTCCTCTTTTGGCAGTGCTCCCAAGATATTCCTTTATTCCTGGGTTGATGCAGAGTCTGTGTGAATTTTTTTTCCTGACTGACTTGCACCTTGGAGTCAGAGCAGCTCCTGAGGCAGCTTTGGTGAGACCATAAGTTTTTACCCTTCTGATGGAGAAAAGGTTATCAATGGTGACAAAACCAACCCCAAAATGTGCAGTTTGAAGGTCTTTTGTTTGATGGTCCTTGCTGGGATGTGTGTGGAGCAGCAGGGACTGGGGACCCTGCACATCACAGCTCTCCCAGCAACCTGCCCTGACTGTGCCTTCCCCACAACTGCTCTGCTGCTGCTTGTGGGATACCACAGGGTGTAAACCTTTGCCCCCTGAGCCACCCATCTCGGACAGAACCTGTTGAAACTTCGTGTAAGTGGCTAAAAAGCCAAATGTGCAGCTATATCCCCACAGGCCACGACTGGGAACTGCTGCTCTGCTCTACAAGAGCCATTTAGGAGAGTCTGTGCAGTTTTTGGTGTGGAATGTGCTTCCTGTGGACTTTCAAAACCTCCCAAGGAGGTGATCTAGGGCCTAATCTCTGCGTGGCCTGGTCAGCCCCATGTTCTTGCAGCTGTGCTGTAACCAAACCTGCTTTTCCCAATTTGGTTTTAATTGCCTGTCAGCCTCCTGCTGTCATCCTGCAGCAGGGCAGAGTGGCTGAAGGGGCTGCAGCTCCTATTTTTAATAGGAGTTGGGAATAAGCCTTGGAGGGGATGTTCTGTTGGAGAACCACCTGCAATATTTCACCCATTTCACAGGTTCTGGTGTAACCTGAGCTCTGGGCTTAAAGGTTGTGCTGCTGGCAAACTCCAGGCATTGCTGAGCTCCTAACTCAGCTGTCTTCCATGGTGCATTCCTTCTTTCTTCCAAGGTGGATTCCTTTGTGCTCACAAATCCTAAACCTTCTGGGGTACAGCTCCTGATCTGTGCTGGTGCTGATCCCATGGGATCCCTTTTGTGTGGAGTCTCATGGATTCATTGGTGCTCACTGTGCTGGAGGCTCAGGCTTGGAGAGAGGTGGGGGATGACTCTCCTGCAGGGAGAGGACTAGAGGGAATGGCCTTGAGTTGAACCAGGACAGAGGCAGAGAAGATATTAGGAGAAATTTATTCCCACTTAGGGTGTTCAAGCATTGGAATATTGCCCAGGGAGGTGGTGGAGTCACCTGCTCTGGTGACTCTGTCCCTTCTTGAAGCTTTGTCCTGTGGTTTTCCTTTACTCCTGCTGCCAGTGGGATTGCAAAACTTCTCTGATAAGCTGAATATTCCTCCTCAGTGCACTGTTTATGCAAGTCTTATGTAAGACATTGCACACTCTGGTTTCTCCTGGCTCGTAGAGATTTAGCCTTGATTTATTCCCCCCCTTCCCCATCCTCCCTGGGAGAGTCAGTATGTTAAACCCAATTCAATCAAATTCTGAAGTGCTGCATCCTTTATTTCAAAGGGGAATTTTGTGCTTGTGTTTTGACCTGCAGGGCAATGTTCACGGGTGGGATGAGAGAATCCAGCCAAGATGTGATCGAGCTGAAAGGTGTGTCTGCCAAGGGCCTGAAACACATCATCGACTTTGCCTACAGTGCCGAAGTGACTCTTGACCTCGACTGCATCCAGGATGTGCTGGGAGCTGCTGTCTTCCTCCAGATGGTGCCTGTGGTGGAGCTCTGCGAGGAGTTCCTCAAGTCTGCCATGAGCGTGGAAACGTGTCTCAACATCGGCCAGATGGCCACCACCTTCAGCCTGTCCTCCTTGAAGGAATCCGTGGACGCCTTCACTTTCAGGCATTTCCTCCAGATCTCGGAGGAAGAGGATTTCCTCCACCTGCCTCTGGAGAGGTTGGTTTTCTTCTTGCAGAGCAACAAGCTGAAGAGCTGCAGCGAGATCGACCTGTTCCGCGCCGCCGTCCGCTGGCTGCAGTACGACCCCACGCGCCGTGCCAGCGCCAGCCAAGTCCTCTGCCACATCCGTTTCCCCCTCATGAAATCCTCAGAGCTAGTGGACAGCGTCCAGACCTTGGACATCATGGTGGAAGATGTCTTGTGTAGGCAATATTTGCTGGAGGCCTTCAACTACCAGATCCTGCCCTTCCGCCAGCATGAGATGCAGTCGCCGCGTACGACCATCCGCTCGGACGTGCTGTCCCTCATCACCTTTGGGGGCACTCCCTACACGCACCGTGAGCTGCAAGGTCTGGCAACTGGCTGATCTTGGCTTGGATGGGTGGGTTCTTCCATGGGGAGAAGGTTGGCTGATGTCCCAAAAGCTTGTGGTGAACGGAGCTAAATCTGGTTGGGGTTGGTTGCTAGTGGTGTTCTCCAGGGCTCAGTGTTGGGGCAGGTCCTGTTTGATGTCTTTGTGATGATCTGGATGTGGGGGTTGGGTGCTCCCTCAGGAAATTATGGTTTAGGGGTTCAGCA